TAAAATCTAAATATCTGCTAACTTTTTTTTACTTTTTAAGTGGCCCTAATCCTCTTCCGTAGATCACTGCCAGGTCCAATGAATCAATAAATCGTTTAGTAAAAAAAACTGCCTAGCAACATGAAAATGCTTTCAAATCACAAGTGATGCTTATCTTCCATTTATATGTCCCTAACTTTAGATTTAAGGTAACTTAGCTGTAAAAACGAATATTCTGCTAAACTGTTATTTTTGCCCTGCTTTCTCTCTTTTTTCTTCTTGTTTAGTGCAAAATAAAAATAAAAAAATCTTCCAGAACAGTTTATAGCTTCTGACACATTGGATGTAATTCTCTCTCTGTCCAGCAGATTCATATATGGCGCCATAACTTGGAGCGCTCTCTTTCAGCGTCCTCTGACGTAATTTTACCTCTGATCCGCTATGTTAATTTTTTAACGTCTGTTCCTTAAAAATACTTTCATTTCTGTCCGAATGCATCCTTGCTTTTCGTATCTGTGGGTCGACATGAACTTTGTTCAGTAGTCTGTGGGAAAGTAAGGCGTCACCTCGTTCAGTTTAACGGTGTTTCAGAGCAGCTAGCTAGCTTAGCTATTGCTAGGTAACGTTATCTATCAGCCATTGACAGGAGCTAACCAGTGACAGGAGTTAATCAGTGTGCTAAATTCATTACTGGAGCACAGTACTGTACTCTACAGACTAGGAATTAAGCACATCCATTGCTTCTGGTTGAATTATAATTATTTTTGCCTATTATGTGAATTGAAACGCTTCAGTAGTGAATATGAAAAATTACTGATCGTGTTTGTTTTCATTTTTTGTTTACATTTTAAATATATTTTCCTGTTACGCTTTATTGTTTTAGTTTGTTGAACTACTTTTATAAATAAGATTACGATAAACAAATAACCAAGGATGAAGTTTTAAGCTGTCCAGACCTACTTGATAACATGTAATAAATAATTCGCACTAAACCTAAAAGCTGCTGTGTGCAACAATAGGAGTGTAAAGTATACATTTTTTTTTGCTGTAGAGGAATAATGGTCCTATTTTTTGGATTGCTTTCTTTTAGCCACATGAGAATGATTTGGATGATCAGTAGCTTGTTTAAGATAAGATATCATAACATCTAATTCTGAATTAAACCTGAACTTTTAAGCTGATCACCAAAAACTTTATCTCTGCTTATTAAGCCCTCCAGGTGTGAACTTGTTATGGATGATTACCCTGCTGAATGATTAATGTTATTGAGTGATAGTGGGATCTTCTTCATGATTATCAGATAGTGACATTCCTGATGGCAACAATGCAGCCTCAGATCATCACACTTCCTCCACCATGTTTTACCTTTAGCTATGAGGCTGTTTGTATGAAATACTGTTAGTTATATGATTCAATTTTATTTTTGATGTCAGAATTGTGTATTGTTTGGTCCGTAAATGTTTTTGTTTATAGACTCTCATAGAGGACATTTTTCTCTTGTTGAATCAAGGCCCATCACACTTACCTTAACTGAGGCAAGTCAGTGTTCAGTGCTTTAAAAGTTCAGTTTTCTTTTCATAAGCTCTCAAACTGCTCTGTGAGACATTTTTGTTAGATCTGCTACTTCTGTTCAATGTTTTCTCTCTGATTTATGGCTCTGGGTCAATATCCCTTGGTGCAAAGCCGTACAAATATCTTTGCAGACTAATAGGTGTTAATGATTTGTTTTCTAATCTCATTAGGTTTTTTCACGTTGGCCCATACTTATTTGAATTGTTTTCTTTTTCTTAATATATTAATTAAGTCATTATTTCAAACAACTTTTTTTTGGTATTTTTTAGAATGGAAAACTCAGAGGCTGGTCTGTCATCGAGGTCTCTTTCAGCTCCGGACCGGAACATGTTGAGATCCTCAGGTTGTCCAGATCAGCAGTCGGACTCAGTCAGGTCCTCAAAACACAGGGAGCAACCGTCCAGGTCACCTAGGAGACGAAGGGAGGGAAAGAGGTCGCAGCAGCGGGGGGAAGATCATGAGCAGCGGCTTTGGGAGATGGAGCGGCGGAGGTTGCCAGGCCAACACGAGCACTTGGAGCCTGCCGGTTCATCGTGCGATGCAGCGGAAAGCTCTCCTAAGAGGTCTGCGCTCTCCAGGTGGCTCTGTTTTAGCAGCTCCAAACATGAGGTGATATCAACTCCTCCTCTTTTATATATCCTTCACCCCAGGAGAGCTCACTTTCTGCATGGACCGTATCCAGCCACTCACTTTGGACCCAAAGCCTGCATTCTTCCCAACCCAACTTCAGTCATGTAAGCATGAGGCAGCTAAATAAGCTGAACTTTGTGTTCACTAACTGCTTGTTCGATCAACAGCAAAGAGAAGTTTTCGCAACTAAGTTAGATAAGAGAAAATCAGAACATGATTGGCTCTTTTTAATCCAGACTGGCTAACTTTACTGTCAGCTTATCTGAAAGGGTTTCTCAGGACATGATCTGAACTCACACAGGTGGATTTACCTTCATAATGATTACTGTTTACCATACCAAGAAGAGCAAAGACAAATGGTAAAAGGAAAGCAGGAGAGGAATTTTGCTATTGTCATATTTGGAATTTGACCCTGGTCCTCTGCTGTGGTTAAAAGTCGCAGCAGTTAATGAATGACTACTCTGCTCAGAAATGTGGAATAATCTTTTTTTAATTCAGAAAATATGGTATGTGTGAAACTATTGCTTTTATTATAGTGTCATAGGTTCATGTGTATGTCATTCTTTTTTTTTTTTTGTGGAGGGTGTTGTTTTGTTTTCGTGTCTTTATAATATTCTTTTTCTTCCTTTCAAAGGCACATCCAGGATCCGGCCAGTCAGAGGCTCACATGGAATAAAGCTCCAGTCAATGTTCTCGTCATCAGGAAAATCAGAGATGAGAGCCTGGTTGAGCCTTTCAAAGAGCTCTGCAGGTTTCTGGTAGAGGTACGGGACTCAGATTCAAACATGCGGTTCTCTGATTGGGAGTTTATACTTTAACTTTGTCATTTTACGTGAATTTTATGAGGCACCACCACAGAGGGACATCATGATGAGGTGCAGAACCAAATCTGAAATGTGTGGGGTGCCTTTTTAATCAGCCTCTCTGGGGCCATATTGTGTTGAACCATATGTGATTGGATTGGACAGTGTTTTGGGTTGTTTCTCTACCAGCTTTGCACATTTAGAAAAACAAATTTGCCTGTTTTTCACTGTTAGGTAATAGTTGAAGAGAATCTATAAACGATAAGTTTTAAACTTTTGCCACAGATAATGGAACAATGTTTGGACCTTATATTCAACATTAGTGGTTAATGAAAACCTGAATCTTAGCTCTAATAGAGTTGCCCTGTATTTAGTCCCAGCTTGGACCAGCTTACCTGTCCTCCACAGCCTGATGCTGCCACCACCATGCATCACCCTGGGAATCCTTTTTGTTCAGGATAAATTTGTTAGGTCTTCATGGCACTTTTCACAAATATTCCTCATCAAAGCTCTGATTCTCTGAAAGCGTGTATTTATTCAAACAGGTACACTTCTGTCAACTCTATGTAATCACAGGGTGACATTTTAAGAAATAGAGTTAGAATGGATTTTATTTAGTGGCATCACAGTAAGTAGAGTTGAAGGCCAAACCTAGCAGATCTTATTTGTAAAAAAATATATCAAAGAATTGATTATTTTTCATCCACTGCACTGTTACACAAAACTTTGTGTTGGTCTGTTGTATTAAATCCCTACAAAGAAAAATTCTTTGGTTGAGATAGAACACATTTCAAAGAGGCGTAATGTGTACAAATACCTTTACTGTAGATTTAGCATCTCAAGTTCAAAGAGAAGTGAATTGAAAAAGGTTTCAGTGGTCTTTTTTTGTTTTCTTTGCTAAATGAGGCGTACAGTTAAGTACATGCCGGCTTGGTTTTATGCGTAAGTGCAGTTTATGCTGCATACTTTAACTTACACTGTGCAAGTTGTTGGAAGCATCACCACAATATTTGCTCTAGTGTGGCTTATTCGGAGGGGATTAACTGGTTTTCTGTGAAAACAGTCTGCATGTTAAAAACAGATTGGTAAACCCACTGAGCAGGAGTTCTTGCTGAGGAATTTGTGCTAGCTGCAAGTCAAACCACAACAAATCCAGGAAATATTTCAGACAAGCAGTCCAGCCTCCTGCAGCTGCAGCATTTTACTCCAAAACCAGACATTTAAGCTGACCTGCTAACCCACATGTCTGCATTTCATCCAAACATCGTTACCCTGAGAAATGAGTTGAAGTTCTGCAAATTTTGATGTCGCTAAAGTGAGTGATTGTGTGTCAGGAGAAACAGATGATGGTGTACGTGGAGCGCAGGGTAGCAGATGACGCCACACTGTCAAAGGACGAGACCTTCGGCTCCATCCGCAACCAACTCTGCACCTTCAGAGAGGGTGAGACGTCTGTCTTACAGCAAATCTACACGTGATGTCTGTGTTCAGACTACTGAGAGACACAGTGATACTATTCCATTCAAATACATTTCTGTCACAAATGGAGATATAAATGATGGATTCAATGAGACATTTCATTCAAAGCACTGTTATGCCTCCCAAACCTTTAAATCATTAATGCTCTTATGTCACAATGTTAAGCAGTATCCCAGAATAACCTTTACAGCACTGGTCTCCCATTTACTTTTGACTATATTACTGATTAATCAACAAACTAATAATAAACAGAGATACTACTTGTAAGAAAAGACCCATGTTTTTAAATTGTTCCTGTTTTGTCAACATACTAAGTCGTCTAATCTGATTTATGGAGTATATTGCTCAGGTTGTTTAGTGTTGTGAAAGTTTCTGTCAGAATCGAGACACAATTCTTCATTTCCCACAAGAAAAACGGCCTGTGGAGTCTATGCTTTCCTCCTCTGTGTTATCGTTTGTGTATTCAGCCGGAGATAAAACTAAAACGCTCTTTAAATGTCCATTTTCGTTATCTCAAGAGTGGATCTATGACTAAAATAAAGGGATTTTATTACGACTTAACTATATTTGGGAATCAAATTGTGTTTCTTTGAGATGAGGCAGACTTTATACCAGCAGTCAAAGAAGGATAACATTTTTTAAGAGTAAAATAAATAAAAAAAAGGGAAGGACCAGGATGTTATCAGTTTGCTTAAGTGCAGCATAACCCTCCAGCATCGTGAAAGACTTTTCATCTCCTTTCAAAATGTTCCATATTTTGTGACCTTGAACCTTACAATGATTTATTTAAGGTTTATGAAATAGAAAAGTACAAAGTACAGCATGTCTGTAAAGTGACAGTGCAGTAAAAATAAGTTTTATATATAAAATAGTCAATGTTCTTACTCATTCTTAAAAAGCTTTGAGTTCTAGTTTTTAAAAACAAAACAACAGACATTGAGTTTGTTTCCAGACAAAAGATCAAACATAAGAAAATTAAAAAGGTCTAAATTGATTTAAATCTGGACAGTGTTTTGTTTTATCCTATCTTTTTCTTCTTCATAATTCTTTATCCAACGTTTTAACTTTTCAGGCCTTTTAGGCCAAGGATCTAAACTGGATCTAAAGCTGATCTGATGCCAAACAAAGGGTTAGCTTTCCATTCAACTTTTTAAAATCAAAACAAAGTCATCAAAGATCGGTTACAGTCTACAGCAGTGTGAAAAAGGGCAGTTTAAAGAAATTTGGGGGCCCCAAGCAAAATACACTTGAAGGGTTTCAACCCTCGAGGTGTATTCCGATAACGGTGTCGTTGTACTTTTCTGCCGTGACCATCACCGAATTTAAATGTCTGCTCACAAATCTTCCCTCTAATTAATTTTATTTATATATATGTATATATATATATATATATATATATATATATATATATATATATATACACCTTGGATCATAGCAAGCTACATTTACCGGTACTAAGAAACAGCAGCAATGTCCATTAGTGAACTTTTAGTTTAAGTAATTTTGCCACCCTTAAATAAAATAAACAAAACAACCTGTTGTTCATGAGATGTGTAGTATGTAACAGTCCTGCTCTTAAGAAAATGAGATGTTACACCTTTCTGACAAAACTTTTTGTTCACCTTCAAAGATTCATATTTTGGACACTGAATTGTGTGCTGAAGCTTCAGCTACAGTATAAATTCAATTAACTCCTTTAACTCTGCGTTTTTTTGCATTTCTTTTTGCATTTCTAATAAAAGTGCTATCAGTAGTAGTATAGTATAGTAGTGTAATAATTTCATGATTTATTTCCATACATAACAAATCTTATGAAATGTCACTAGAATATTGTTTCTTAACTTTTATCTATTTTTTACGTCTTTCCTTAGAAAACCCACAGTGCAGTGAATTATTCTCTAAATTGTTAGCTTATCCTCTGTTATAACTTCTGTCTGGAAGATATTGTAAGGATTGTAGGCTAAATTATCTCCTAAGCAGGTAGAAAAGTGTCTATTTGCCTATTTATGGCCACTTTAATGCATATAAATCCGTTAGTTTTTTGCCAATGTCCGTCATCAGTGCCTTCTAGCTTCCATTACTGTTGTTAGGAATTGTAGCCACTAGAGGGCAGTTCTGAGTAACAACCGAATTCAGGGAGAAATATAAAATTGGGGACAACGGAGGAAATAATAATAATAATGCACATAACAATGCACGTAAAAAAATAAATTATAAACATAAAGCAACACAAGGGAATGGATGAATAAATGCCACCAAATCTTTGATTGTTGTCGTGTTTATGTACCTGTTGTCATTTGCATCAGATATACTGAGCCACGGTGCCTCAGCGACAAACGTGGTTTTCCACGATTTGTTGCAATTGGGTTCCTATCAGAGTCCCTGATGATGGACTATAATCTGAACACAGAAGCCAGACAGTAGGCTCTGTATTTGGTGTCGATGTAAAAATATTTCCTTTGGTTTTCTTACCTTCTGTTCTTCCATAAAGGCCCCCTAATGGCTGGTTAGTTAACCTGCCGTGTTTGCTCACACATAGAATTTGATGCAGGGGTAACAAACTACTGTACTGGTCCTGTGAGGGGATTAACCGTTTACTCCAGGCCGTCTTAAAAGAAGAATTTAGCAAGTGAAGGAGATGTTGGGGTTATTTTGTTGTTGGATGTTTTACCAACTACTGACCCTTTCTATATAAGCCTTAAAAATCCTCGGCTATTCACATTAACCTAAATAGAATAGAAACACCCTTTATTGTGGGAAAATTCAGGTGTGTAAGTGGCAAAGAATGCATACAGGTACACAAAAGACTATAAAATATGAAATAATAAAAAATTGGCTTTACATCAAAGAATAAAAACACACACCAATAGTCCTGTTTTCTTACAAACTGTGATTTTTGTTGTTGTGTCTTCAGGTTATGATGACATCTCTGACTGCATAGACCTGATCATTTGTCTGGGGGGCGATGGGACATTGCTTTATGCCTCTTCTCTCTTTCAGGTATTTGGATTTGGATGAAACAGGATAGATGTTGGTTCAAAAAAAATATACGTAATATTTGTATGGGTTTATCTTATGGCTTGATTAGATTAAAAGTAATCAATCTTAACTTTAATGTTGATGAAGTAAATTTTGATGTATCTCTGTCTTTGTGAAAATCAAAACAGATGCATTTAATTCATGTTAGATGTATTTTTTTTCATTTAGATTTATTTTTTTACAGCTCAAAATAACACACTGCATTCATAACATACCATTAGAAAACAAATTAGACTCTGAAGAACAGCTAATTAACTTATAACTTAGAAGGTATTTCAAAATCTCTTCTGTGTTTTTACTTTAGTTAATTACGTTGCATAATTACAGTTTTTCACTTGATCAAGATAACATTTTCTTTAAGAAACTTTAGTGTAAAACTTGGTTGAGAACTGAACAGAATCCACTTATGTTTTTTAATTATGTTTCTTAGAATATTTTAATTGTTTTTTACACCATTGGGCATGAAAAATATGACAAAAAAGGTTTTAGTCTGAAATATTTTAACAGCAACTAAATCAGGATTCTTCATTTCCGGTCAGCTACGGTTTCCAGCATCTTTTAGATTTGTTTCTGCTTCAACCAACCTGAGTCAAATAATTAGACCCTTATAATAATAAAACCATTTGATTCAGGTGTGGAAGCAGAGACCTATCTAAAGGACGCAGGACACTGGACCTCCAGGTCCAGAACTAAATCCTGTGGTTTAGAAATGTTTCAAAGCCAACTGATTTTGGGTTTTCTCCTCTCCAGGGCAGCGTTCCTCCAGTTATGGCATTCCATCTCGGCTCTTTGGGTTTTCTGACTCCCTTCAAGTTTGACTCATACAGGACTGAAGTGGCCAAAGTGTTAGAAGGTAAACTGAAAGCATTAGGTAGCCATAAAGAGGCCAGTTTGATAATGGAAATCAAAGAAACTGAGCGTCTTGTTGGTTCAAAGGGAATGCAGCCATCACCCTGCGCAGCCGTCTGAAGGTGAAGGTGGTGAAGGATATGCTTCAGAGAGCGCCACAGCAGACAGAGGGCAGAGAGTCACAGCTGGAGCACAACGGACTCCTTCCTCATGGGCACACCAACAGTGAGGCTGGCAAGGTTACCCTGCAGCTACAGGTGAGCTATCAGACGTCTCTGAGATTAGAAGATGGTGTTAAATGTTTACATACCGTGGCTTCTTTACAGCAACTTTACTTTCATGGTCCACAGAGTAACGATAAAACTTATCACAGCTGATTACTTTCTAAAATTCAAGTTTAGTTGTGTGATGGTTTGGGTTATAAATTTTTTTTTTTTTTTACCTGCTGGATTTATCCTTTGGCACTCTGAATCCACTCCAACTGATGCATTGCTCTATTCTAATACCTTATAATACTGTACTACAAGTATCTTAAAATGAGTAAAAAAGTCTCAAAATGAGGGTATTTACCATTAATTTGAGTTGATAAGATTATCTGCCAATGGAATGAGTATGTTTAGGCTTAGAGTAGGATAATCAGATATTATGCATTTGAAATAAGAGCCTGCAGTTGTTTTTTATTCCATTGCCAAAGTGTCTCATTACCTGCTCAATTCAAGAAAAATGCACTTCATTTAAGAAAAATTCAGGGACTTAGATTAGAATTTTTTGCAGTGTAGCATCAGTGTTTCTTGGCTTTAATCCAAACTAAGGAGAATAAATTGTATAAGGCTGCATATTTCTAACTATTTCTACTACTCTGCTGGTGGGGCGGGGCACCATTTAAATTGACACGATTTCTCATTTCGATTCCAGTTCCTATCGATTCTCCATTCCAACTCTTTCAATAGGATGATGAGAGTTTACATGTTATAAATGAGCTGGCTAACTGCGTTCTGTCTGGATGCAATAATTAGAATTTCTCAGTTATTTTAAACCACTATAAAAATATCAAACCCATGAACTTTATATAATAAAATCTTATGAATTTTCATTGAGTTTAACTTTCACATGGAGCTTTATTGTTTTATAACCTAATTAAAACAAATTTACATAAATCCAGTGTCTGATCCTGCAGGCACTTATATTGTATTAATACATTTTATTATTCTATTTATCTGATTCTTCAGTCTGGTGCTAGGCTGAGTGTCTGAGCTGGAGGGAAAAGCAGCTGGCAGGAAGATGTCTAGGAGTTTATATCTTCAGCACCTCATTTCCACACAAAGCTAAACGTGGAAGTAGTAAAGTTTTATGTTTGTGGACAGAGGAATGATCAGATTTTGTATTCCATTGTTCAGTTAGTGGTTTCTATCATGTGAAACAGATCCCAAATTAACTAAATTAAACAATTAATGAAGATACACTTTAAATTATTAATATTAATTTTGGTAGATGTAGATTAAAGCGCTCTTCATTCTATTCAGAATGTTTGGGAAACAATGTGTTAATATGTAAAGGAAGATGAAAAAATGGATAAAATCCCATAGTTCCATCTCTATTCAGTGAGTTATTTATAAGATTGGGCATTGAAGATGGTGAGGGTCGATTAAATCGGCCAAATATATTATTGGCCAAGTGAATGTGAATATAATGGTGCCACTGTTTTGATTCTGTTTAAGACTCCGATCCAATACAGCATGCAGTTCTTACTGTATCTGAACGTCTGCTTTAAAAAAGCTTGAGGGATGCCTTCTGTTTGTGTAGGTGCCTCGTCTGTATATGAGACATCTGATGTGGTATGAGGAAGTATTTATCAATATGAGACCAAACTGATAAATCCAGAGAGGAACGTCCACCCACTATTTAGTCCGTTCTGATTGTGAAAGTGTATTCCTGAATACCCTCCCCTTTATTTTTGCACCCATGAATAATGTTTTTGAGTTTACTTAATGTTGCCAAGCAAAAGTACCTTGCTGTTAAATTTGTATTTGTTTTTCTATTAGATTATTTTAAAGCAGTGGTAAAGCTGACTGTTAAATGAAAAGCATATCTCTAAAAACTCATTCTCAGAGAGTTGCAACTCCACATTTTTCAGGTGCTTCGTGTGTTTAGTCTACCACAGCTGCCATGCTATCCTCCCCCTGTTTCTGTGTTGACCTTCACACACCTCACATTTAAGCCCATTTAGCTGCTGGAACATCGACCTCAGATTCTCCGCAGTGTTTCGTGATTTATCTCATGCTGTAAAGCTGCTCACTCCTCTGTCTCTGCTGCTGCCTAGCAACTACACAAACTTTCCCTCTTTATGCGGTCGCTTGTCGAGATGACATTTTTCAACTTTTTCATTCTTTTCCTTTTAGTGGTACAAATATTTTTAGATGTGAATTGTATGTTGTAAATAAAGTGAAAATCAATAATTTTTTTTTTTGCAAAAGCTAATTTTCATATTACTGAATGTCCTTACATATACAGTATTTTCTAAAAGGGATTAAGAGTACATTTTTCCTGTTATCTCAAAATTTCTGACTAGTTTTATATAGATTTTAGCTAAATAAAAGGTAAGAACTCTAAATTTTGTGGAGTGAGGCCACACCAGGGCTGAAAGACAAGCAGCTGCATAACTGACTCACTCCAACATAAAATTTATTACACTCATCTAAAACGGGGGAATACATCTGGATCCATCTTTATAACTGCTGTTTAACTTCAAATCGTTGTCTGACTTAAAAACCAGTTGGTTTAATATGCAATCGGGGGCCTAAGTAAAATTTGTTGGACTCACAGGGGCCCCTTGGTCCAAACATCATCTGCTCTGTTGTCTTTTGATTAGAGATGTAAAAAGTTTAGGGTCAGACAAGGTTTAGTATCCTCAAGCAGTCCAGCGGTGCTTTGATTTAAAACCGCTACTAAAGGACAATGTTTAACTACTTTAGCTCTTTTATTAAAATTGCTCTTATACGTACATATTCTGCTAAATTCTAATCTAAAATAAAATTAAAAAGTCTAATGGAATTGTTGCCATAGCTTAGAAAGTGTTGTTTATAAAAACAAAGGTCGCCACCATCTTTGATTACAGTAACTGAGGGAGGATAAACTTGTTAGCCCCTCATGTTTTACCTGGATATGAAGACAAGTTGTTGGTGAAGAAGTAGAAAGCAAAGAAGAATGGATATAACTCTACTTACTATTTTCTGCTGAAATGAAGGATCATCCATAATGCTTTCCCCCTTTGGGATGGAAAAAACAAATAACTGAGAAAAGAAAGAGAAATAAAACAAGAGCAGCTTTTACCAGCAGGAGACCATAATTAGGGAGCCAGGCTTCAAAACGGCAGCAGAGCTTGTAGGCTTTCTGCTGGGACCTAATTCACAGAAGCTGAATTCAGAAATCCAGGATAAAGGCTTGATCTAGTGTGAGGACTGCATCCTGGCTTCATCCATTTCATAAACACCAAGCCAGGCTCAATATGTGTGGATACTTTAAGCCATGTTTCAGTGATCAAGCTAAATGCAGCTTTCTTCAAGAGGCCATGTGGTCAAACACAGATTCATTGGTTCAGTAAAAAATCTTGGGTCAATTAAATACCCAACAGCCTAAATACATGTTTTCTGACCTCTTCTCTAACTGAATAGGCCACGATTTAACAAGTTCCTTTTCATTTTTCTTAAATGAACAACTATTAACTTGAAAACACACTTTGGAAGCCAATTTTCTAACATGTGTGTATCCTTTATGTGAATGTTTTATATTTTAGGCCTCACAGTTTTTAGTAAAGTGGTTAAAGACTTTAACTTAAATACTGGAGATTTAGGAGCAAGTCTCAGCTACATCATGAATGGCAACTGTCAAAAAAAATCCTTATTAAACAGCAGATATTAGGGTTTTTATTTAACCGTTGTCGTTTCACATCATGTCAATATTCATACAGAACTAAGACGACTGGACCAAAGAGGACCTGACAACAGGTCAAGAGGAAATATAAAAACATTTTGAAAACTAGTAGCTTGATAAAAGGATGAAATATAATGCACTAATGACTTAGAAAGTTCCTGCACACAGATCTGATCCGCAGAATTTCCGCCAACAGAGAATCTGGTCCTTTACTTAAAACAAAGGTAGGCCTGCTTTAGAAGGGATCCAGGTTGTAGTCATGGACTGAGCCAAACGTCTTTGGCTGAATAAAAGGCTAGTAAAGACATTTAGGCCCCGTCCACACGTAGTCAAAACGAACACGAAACGCTAATATTTTCCAGAACGTTTGTCGTAAAGACAATAAAATAAATGTGATCGTCCACACGAATGCATGAAAATGCTGCAAAATGTATGCCAGGCCTGTAAGTGGCGCTGTGGTGCCAAAGCAAAAATAGGCAACGAAATGTTGGGCATGCGCACTAATATTTATACATGGTTGCCCTGCGGGTCCATTTTCGTGGTTCAGTCAAATTCAGGTGCTGAACTATGTCGTCGATATTGCTCTGTTCTTCCTGGAGATATTCCAGAAGAAGAAGATTCTGTTGTAAGCCCGACAGCAGGGTGAGTAGCATTAGCAGCAACCATTCAACACAGTACGGCGCCATTGTTGTTGTGATACTGTGTCGCGCATGCGTGTTTAGAGGCAACGCTATGACGCATGCGTGTAAGAAAAAAAATGCGGTTAGAGCTTAAAGATGGAAACGCGAAAACGGCGTTTCAAAATCTTCCCACTCTGAAGGCTGAATAAAAAAAAAGATCGTTTACAGACCCCCGAAACGCCGGCTTCATATGGATGAGTGCCTGGTTTGGTGAAAAATTTGTGCAATTAGGCCAGGGTTTGGCTTCGTGTGGACGGGGCCTTAGTTAGTTAGCCCATGCTGGACGAGATCTGTTTCTATAGTTATCAGTTGCTGTTATTCTTTATAGAAGTCGTACCAAAAAAACAACTGCAGCTATTAGCAGTAGCTTTATACCAAATACATGAAAAATATAATTCTAACTCACTGGCATTAGGTAAATAACAGAGTTATGATTTGTTCTGTACCCCATGACCTGACTAGCCTCGTGAGACCATCCTGATCTCGCGAGCTTTCAAGATTTTACTCGCTAATCAGTCTGGAGACTCTCCGTTGAAGAAAATTTGGAGCCATTCACCAAACGAACGTCCAATCAGCGTTGGCTTTGAGGCGGGTTGAGGTGTGACGCAACGAGAAGCGCGACAGTTCAGTCTAAAGAACATGGCGGC